CTGATGATAACGATACTTTAACTGACGCGGTAACTGGCCGTTTCGAATATGCCATGTGCATATTTATATTGTATTCGCTTAAGTGTTTTTTAAGTGTTTTTTTTTCAGCGGCGGCCTTGGACCGCGTCTTGTGTAATAAATTCATTTTTTGGAAAAAGGCGGTGGCCAGTGGACAGACGCTGCTCACGCCTTTCGTGACAGCACCCAACTTGCTTTGTCCCTTCTTGAGTTGTTGCGTTTCCAGCAGTCCCTCTGTAAAGGCAAAACAGTTATTCACGAGCGCATGGTTGTTGTCAACCTGGAAAATATAGGAAACATACGTTTGTAATTCGTAATTTGTGCTGAACCATCCTGTACAAAGAACTGCACTCGAATGCTACCATTATCATTACTGTGCTCGATTGGCATACGCAGACAATTGGTGTAGGGGAGGGTGGTGGGAAGGAGAACCTCGCTCACCCGGCGTGTTCAGCATTAGCATGTGAAAATAAGTAAAATTGCTCTCACCTGAATAGACATAATTTGTTTCCAACTAAAAACAATATTGCGCGTAATTGATCCGAAGTGATAAGACGATCCAGGCTCGGACCGCCGCGGCTGAGCTCGATCCTGCCGTTGAGCTGGAGCTCTAGTCCCTAGATTTTGCGGCTCCGACGCACCCAATCGGTGCGAAATTGCAGCGAAATTTGAAATAATGAATGACGATGTTTTTTTCCTGCAAGTCGTATGCAGCTTATCACCAATCTGTACCAAAACCCTTAAAGCGGAGCTCTTTTCCAGATAATTGTCGGCGATCTTGCACAGACTCCTCCTCGCTAGTTTGTTCCTTAGGTCAAATGGCTTTACACCTGCCTTCATTTTGGCACGCAACATCAGCAACAACAACAACTTGCAACAGCTTCACATGTAAGCAGCTCTTGTTTATGGTGATGACAAATTGTTTGCACCACAATCAACGTAACGTCGCTACACCGCGCCAATACTTTTCTGTACTTCCTCACTTAATTTCACCCGATCCCCTTCATTGAACATTGACGCCTGGCAATTGCAGAAAGTGGCAGAGCCGCAGGTCTTTACTTTCCCGACTTGCTGGCATCACGGCGCTACGCACAGCTATTCGCTCTTAGGCCCGGCCCAGTTTGCGTGGAGTCGGCGTCGACTTCAATTAGTGTTGTGTCGATTTCCGTGTATGCGATCCCAGGCGCGCTGAATTAGCACACGAGGCGGCTGCACTCGGGCACAACAACAGGTACAAAGTGATGCAATATCCGACAGGCTGCTTGCTTTATCTCATGTTGAGCTCCAGCTAAGCTTTGCATATCATGCTTAAGCACGATATGTGAAAACTCAGAGCACACGACAATGCCATTTACACGACTCGCAAAGAACGACAGGTATGTACAGTCCATTACCATACGTTTGTTACTCGGGCATTATTTCGGAACTCCGAAAGAATGTGTAAATGATTTATGTTAAATGCTGTAAGGCTGAAAAATGGTTGCAATGTCACGGTCACAGTTCCTGACGCAGTGAGCCGATCGCGCCCGGTCACTGGTCACTGGATCGCTGGTCGCTGGTCACCCGATACCGGCCGGTCCGACGCAGTGAGCTTTCGTGCCGGATCACTGGATCGCTGGTCGCTGGTCACCCGATGCCGGCCGGCCGACGCAGTGATCCGATCGCGCCGGGGCACCCGATACCGGCCGGTCGATGCAATGAGTCGATCGCGCCTGGTCACTGGTCGCTGGTCACCCGATACCGGCCGGTCGACGCAATGAGCCGATCGCGCCCGGTCACTGGTCACTGGATCGCTGGTCGCTGGTCACCCGATACCGGCCGGTCGACGCGGTGATCCGATCGCGCCGGGGCACTCGATATCGGCCGGTCGGCTTATGGCGTAACGCGGCGCGTGATCCGATAGCGCTCAAATTCGGTTTGAAGCCGATCTGGAAGGGGTACTATTAGGTTCCTCTGTAGACTGAAGGGCAGTCAATTGCTCTTTAAACGCTTATAGGTCTGAGGAAAATCAAAGCGTGACGTTTTCAGGAAATTAAATGCAGGTTCAAACAATCGCATTTTGTGTATGTATCTAACTGACCTTGAATCTTATATTGCCACATCCTCCAGAAAATAATCAGAGATATTGAGCTTACCGATGAAGCTTTCTCACACGTTATACCCCACGGTATGTTTTCAGTAAAGACGGTTGAAAATACGTTTCGTGACGTCATCGCGTATTTGTATCAGCTCGTAGCTCCTTAGCGGTACCCTGAACGGTTCTGAAATCTGCAGAATCGTATTTGGCCCATTCATGCCGCAAATACATCTCTTCATTAAGTTCGATGAAGATACTGGGTCGAAATGCAACAGCTGCCCATTGGTCGTGGAATGACATTACTTTGTGCGAACCAGTACAATACATGGCCTTTGTCTGCACGTTTGCCTTATTATGTTTCAATTGTCCAATGGCCGTTACTGGCATTTTCACAGCAAGTGAACTAGAAAGCATGCATGAAGTGTGCGCACCATTTAACAACGCCGCTTGGCACCATGGGCGTAGAAAGATACGAACGCCATAACTGAGGCCACGTTTTTCTTGTCCTTGGAGTGGTTTTCGCATGCGCAAAACGTCAAAGCCTAAAGACAAATTTGAAAAGGAAACGGCCTGGTAGTTTTGTGCCCATCGATTTCGTGAGTCATTCAAAAGTGAAATGCATCGCCTTTCGCATTAACACGCGCTCGGGTGGCCGGCTGGACACCCTTCGCTCGGGTGGGGGGCCAATTTGTTCCCCCTAGGATCTAGCGAACTAAGAGAGCTAGAGACACCAAATTTACAGGGTGTTTTGACCTGTATGTGAACTCACTTTGGTCAAACTTTCAGATTCTTAGGTCATGACCTTCGGGTCAAATGAGGTCGAACAAGGTCAAATTCTAGGTTGGCCGCCAAAGTGGCCTCAGAACCTAGATAACTGTTTTTAAGCAGAAGGTCACATCCTCATTTAAGGCCAGTGATCTTGTTGACCTCGACTCTTTTGAAGGCCATGATGACTAAAATCATGCAAGCTGCTCTGAGTTTTGCATTTAAATAAACGACAAACATTACGCTAGGCAGTATGTTCCGAAAAAAACAAAGTGTTAACCTGTGTTATTTTAGGTCAGTGACATATTCCTACCTCTAAGAAGTCCATGGAGGGTATATGATGTGGTTCCTGCAATCAATAAATTCGAGATTAGGACCAAAAACTACCCCATATAACAAGCCCGAGGGTAATAAAACAGGTTGGTCTTGATCATGGTCTGACCTTTATATCTAATCTTAGGTCAATGTAATTTGCTATTGAACTGTTGTGTTGCCTAAGAAAGCATCTCAGAGATGTGTGACGTCGTCTTACATTCCGTTGTTGCATCAGATTGAAAGATTCCCTAGAAATTGACTTCGCTGAAATGATGGCCTCACTTTGACCTGCCACAGGTCAACGACCTTACAAGGTAAATTTAATTTTTTGATGTGAAACTATCTGCTATTCAGTTGTTTACAGCTGTGCAGAGTTTGGCGCGGCTACGCCGCGCCGTTCAGAAACTGTTCCGGAAAACCTTTGGGGGGTCAATTTAACCCCCACCCGAGCCCGTGCTAAGGTCAAGAGGTACGGAAGCCTAACGCGATTTTTGTTTGTATTTTGATTCTTTAAACAACCCCAATACTCGTCAGGTATACACGACTTATGTTCAGGTTTCTTTGGTTTTAATGAATAAGGCTGTAATATCAATACAAATGAAGAGAACTGCTGGTGGTGTATTAATGCGTATCTCATGTAATAAATGCATGCTTTGCCGGCTCTTCTTATCAGCTGGGTAGCAGAGTGAAGTTTATGAATTGGCAGTTATATCCTTCGTAAATGATGAAATGGTTTGCAGGGATCAGTTGTGGTGTGAGAAACGAGAAGACATTATTGTATGCTGCTCGGTTCGGCTCTATATTGCTCAGAGTGGAAAAATCTAGGTCTGGCTTTCGGTAATGCTCTCACATAGCTCTCCCACGCATCTCTTGTAAGCATTTTTTTGTTGTTGTCTAATCCGGCACATCTGCGAAACTGTTTATCTTGCTCTGTGATGTACACATTAGTCGGCGCCCTAGTCCTTTCGCGACTCTGTTATTGCATCTTGGTGTACGTGAATAGTATTCCAAATAAGTTAGTACGATTGCATAAGGTGATTTACAACGCAGCACAAGTCGCATTTGGCTGCAAAAAACATAATCATGCAGCGGAGCTACTTGGGTGCCTCGGCTGGCTCACTGCTGGAGGACTGGTACACTATCACGCCCTCATGTTCGGCAAAAAGTGATAATGCCCGTCTTGTCGAGCCCGTATTGCTCGTTTGCGACTTCTCGATGGTATCAGAGTCTCGCGAGTGAAATACGAGGCAGGGCGACAGCCTTCAGGTAACGAGATCGCCAGCCGAGACTAGAGAGAGCGGCGCCTGCATCGTCGGGCGGCCGCTCTGTTCGGTGCGCTGCCACCGAAGCTGAGCCCCCCCCCTCCCGCTCTCTCTCCGGGCAGGCCTTTAAACGCCACATGCGGCAGGATGCTGGGATAACTTTACTGCAGAATACTGGGCGTATGCGGTACATGTGTGCACATATGCATTTCACTTAGCTCGGGGTGTAAACATATTTTTAATTTGTGTGCACGAGTCTCTAGCATTCACCTCTGTCCTTTGAGTTTGCGTTTGATCTTTTCACGATGGCTCGGAAAAGCCACGTGTGCAATGCGGAAGCCCTAATTTACGATTAGGTTTCATTCTGAGCATTGCATCACAAGTCATTACGGCTTTGTTGGATGATGGGAATGGGGCCAACATTCCGCGGCAACCTCTTTAGAGCAATGCGTAAAAAAGAAGACGTGCGGAGACATAGAAGGAAAGCAGGGGGCAGGGGCGTTCTTTTCTGTCCAAACATTTTTTTTGTCTGACGTACGCTGATTACTAAACGGATGCCGCAGACGAATGCTCACCAACGAGGACGTCGAGGTGCAGACCTCTGCTCTGAAGGTAGCCGATGACGCCAAGAAGAACGGAAGCTGCTCGGGCGGCAACTCACCAGCCAGCTGCTAAGAAATAATCCCCGTCGCAGCAGCGTTTAAGCATTACCAGCGACATGGTCGTCAGTGCATGCTACTCCATCTGCCTTCCCTCCAACAAAAGTAGCTGCAATCGCGCTTGGTGCTCTTGAGGCGCTTTGCTCTACGAATGTGTTCTTAGCCGTAGAGATTCATTTAACAAGTGAATCCGTTGCCGACCCGGGCCAACTGACCTGCCGGCATTGCTAGGCGTGGTGGTTTCGAAACAAAGCGATGTATGTTTGTGATCTAAAATGATATGCTTGTCATCTGTTTGTGTCAGAGGCAAGACAACGCGTGATGCATCAAGAGTTTAATGTGACTGGCGTAAGATCTCGCATAAAACCACGTCACAGAAATTGTTTTGGCTTTAAATTTTTAACGGCATTTTGATCGTTTGATATTCTAAGCTAATTTACTAGGTTTCATCTTTTCCGACATCATATTCCCTATGCCCTGTGATGTGGAATGCTTCGCCCATTTTCAGAGCACATTTAATGGCTCAGGCATGACTGCACATGACATGCATTAATTCAAGTAACTGTTTCCCTTTGCCCATATCACCTACACACGGTCCCGTTGAGCTTTGTACTTATGTGCCGTCGTGATATCTGTATATGTGCGTGCATGCTAGGTTAAGATCAGGTGACAGCACGTTCACCTAAAGGAATCTTCGATTTGATCTAAAATTCCTCTCAAAAACTTCCATGGACCTCTGTCTCTAAGGTTAATTTCGACTCATTGCCTTTCACAGTTGGGTCAAAACCCTCCCTCAAAAACATTGCACAAAAGGCAATTGGGCTCAGGCCAAAAAAAACATAGTCTTTACTTATCTCCACAATCCAAACATGATACTTTGCTAGTTCATTCAATGAGCAAACTGCGCCTGAAAAGGTCCAGTCTTTGATAAAAATAAAATGGGTGGCTGTTTTACAGGCAAACTCATATGGATACAAATTTAAACTGGAACCTTCCGAAAAGAAAAGGGGAGAAATCCCACTGACAGAATCATGAACTATCTTGTTGGTGGCATCTCGAACTGGCACACGAATTTTTTGGTATACGCACACCGCCTGATGTATTACTGTATAGCAGCAATCAAGACTGAGTATGAATTTATTATTCAAAACAATCCGCTCTTGTCCTACGAAATTTTATTAAGACATCATTAAGGCAACTGTAGTTCTTCATCACCACATCGCTGCAGCAAGAACGAGCTGTTCGCCATTTCCGTAGGAGACTTGTTAACACTTTCGCCGGATGAAAATGAGAGAGTTGCTCTTAGTTGCTCTTAATTGGTGGAAAGTAGAGCTCTGCCCTAGCTTTCCAAAGACGTGTGCTAAATTCCTAGGAAAACGGCATTGGATAGTGAGCATACAGTTAAATCAGAATGAAGATATTCAATTCCAGGGTAGAGCAAATCAAAACAGGCAAACAATACGAAAAAGTAAAACCCATCTGTGCTTGGCATGCCATCCACCCCTCAACTCAAACCTAACGGGTCGCCTCTGACTGTGTGCTGGTTGGACAGAGCACGACATAAATGGAAAGTTTGTATTTGATTGTAGATAATACCCCACTGATAATTGTAAATGTTAATGTAAATGATGATTGTAAATGTTACCGCTTGACCATTGACGTCACCAAGATTTGACACGTGGACCAGCCAGCAGGGGCGGGGAAGTAAATCGAAGCCCTAGGGAGCCAAACCGATTTCGAGAGTAAGCAGAGGCGACGCAGGATACCCGCTGGAGACCCAGCCTCAAAGCTTTTCATCTGGACTTTTCCAACTTTCACATTCATCCCTTTCATTTCCTCTACTTCTTCAAGTAAGACCTTTTTACTAGTTGGCTCTAATTTGCCTATTTTTTGGTTCTTTTCATTCGCATTCCACCCCGTTTTTTATTTCCTTTCTCCCGGACAACTTTCGGAGGTGGTATTCAGTGATTTTCCTTTGGCTGGTTGATGTTGGGAAAATAACACTTCATGACGTTGCAGTCATAACTTTGTGCTGGGTGCCGCTAGTTAGGTTGCTATGGGCCCCTCCCATATTAAAACATGTGAACCGATCTAACATAGTCCTTCACAATATACGTCACAAGTGCATTCATGGGATTTCGACCTGTCATGTGCCTAGTTTCACGAAGGATATTGAGTGACTTGTAACCTCACAAAAACGCAAAACACTACTCGCACATGGTACTTTGGGACGCTGATCGTGTAATGTGACAAATACTAATTTGTGTGTTATAGTCATTGGATGTTGGTTGCTACGCCTAGCAAAAGACTTACATGAATACATGCTTCTGAAACGAGCCGTTTGATACACGCTGGATCTGTGAAGAGATGGCACCGCCGATCGCTGCCATTCTCGGCCAGCCTTGCGAGCACGCCTGCAAGTTTCGAGGTGTGTCACAAGGTTTCCATTATCCGATGTGACTCCGCGCGATTTGGGAACGTTGTTGTCACGCGGCTGGCGGCACCGCCGTCTCCACCAATTCCCTGTCAGGAAGACAAGATAGAAGACTGTGCATGAGTGCAGTTTCACAAAAATTCAGGGACCGTGTCCTGAGCGTAAGGTATGTTCAAGCTTGCTATGATGGTCTATCCTCAGATTTCGGCCACTTTTTGCCGTTTGGACAAAATCGAGATGCCGTCGCATTTTCTATTTGATCTGCTCGCGCCGTTCAGTTTGTGTCCCTAAATTGCTATTTTCAGGTTAGGAGGAATGAACTGCTCAAACGCTTCAGCAGCTAATGAAATGTGCTGCAAAGCAATGCAGTACGTTGGTGGCGCTATTTACACACGACAACGATACGGTCTACGGTAAAGTAATGCTTTTGAAACTTATTTTTGGTCCGAAAATAGCCGTCAGACCTCAGATATCAGCCCTCACTACACGTAACTCAACACACATAATTGCAGACCACATGGCAGACCACATGGGACGCGTCATGTCCTCCGAAGGCGGTCGTGATGTTTCCGTATTTAATTATGCCTAGAACGGCTCCCTTATTTTTGTTTGTTTTACGCATGAATGGTGGGACATTCAGAACTGGCCTCCCCTTTCTACCACCAGGCATCCAATGTTGAGTCCAGCTCTGCGGTGCAGCATGGTTGAACTGAACACAACGTCATGTATGGTGCACGCCAGATGTCCTGGTATCGATTTCATTATGGCACGCCTTCTGCCCATGTCGTCCTTTGTCAGCAAAGCCCGTCATGCGAGGAGGTATTGCGACTCTGTTCGACCGTTTTCTCTGCATAAGGCCGACAGTGGTGTGGAGAACGTAGCCCCTGAAGCGCACTTTGTCAGCGTAGCAATGTCTATAATAACTTGGTGAGCTAAATGTCATGTCGTCACCAAAGTTATCTCATGGCATAAACGGCAAACGTTCGTCTGTAGCGTGGTTGCCCCAAGCAAAACGTGCTGGCTGCTGATATGACCGCCAGGTGAGGCCAACAAACTGACGATCCTCGCATGAACTTTTTTGCACGTTTGCTGTACTTTAACATGTGCCCGGATGGCCGGTTGGATATCCTTCGCTCGGGTGGGGGTGGGGGGTCAATTTGACTGTCTGAGATCTCAAGAACTAAGAGATATAGAAACACCAAATTCACAGGGTGTGATGGTCTGCATGTAATCTCACCTAGGTCAGATTTTGAGCCTCCTACATCATGACCTTCGAGTCAACTAAGGTCAAACAACGTCAAACCTCCCTGTTGGTCTACAAAGTGTTCTCAGAAGCTAAATACCTGTTCTAAGCAAAAGTTCACATGCTCAATCAAGGACAGTGACCTTTTTTGACCTTTCAAATGTCATGGTGACCAAAATCATAGAGGACTGCTTTGAGTTTTGCATTTGGATAAGCAACAAACATTAAGCTACGTGGCATGTTCCCCAAAACGAAAGCTGGCCTGGGTTATTTTAAGTCAGTGACCTATTCTGTCCTATAAGAAGTCCATGGAAAATGCCTAATGCGGTTCCTGTCACCAATAAATTCGAAATGAACACCAGAAACTACCCCACGTAGCGAGCCCTAGAGTACTAAAGCGGATTGGTTTTGACCTTGGTCTGACATTCATATCTGACACTAGATCAATGGAACTTGGTCATTCAATTGTTGTGTTGCCTAAGGAAGTATCTCAGAGATGTATGGCTTTATCTAACACTCCGTGGTTCCATCAGATTGAACGATTCCCTGGAAATTGACTTCGCTGAATCCATGGTCTGACTTTGACCTGCCGTAGATCAGCGACTTTACAAAGCGCATCCCATTGTTTGATACCACAGGCTCGGCTATTCAATTGCCTACAAATTTGCAAAATTTTCCGTGGTTACGACGCGCCGTTTGGAAACCATTCCGAAAAAATCCTCGGGGGGTCAATTCGACCCCACCCAAGTGCGTGTTACTGCTTAAAACTATGACAGACTCTTGGCAAGCTGCTTCTGACCAGTGAATCTGTTCAGCGATTTCAGCTCTGTATTATGGTGAATACCTAGTGTGCTGTGGTGAATATCCGATGTACCATGGTGAATGCCTATTGCGTTGTGGTGAATACCTAATATGCTAGCTTTATGTGTTATGGTTAAAAATGTGTATTATGTATTTATAAAACATTAGGGCTTATTCGAATCGTGACACGTTTCCGCAAGAAATCCAGTGTTGTTCGGGTGAAAGCATGCAAGTGCGCATCCTCTGGTCTGATTGTCGGTGTTCGAACAAACATGACCTGACTTCATGGAGGGGCGTATATCCAGCTCCTACGCACGCAATTACACAGACTATCCAGGCCCAGCCATGTTTTGATTTGGTGCATTTATATGTGCATTCAATTATGATTCTGGACATGCTTTGCTTAGGTCACTCCATGTAAAATAATTTTACGTTTGATGAGGGTACAAACATTCTCAGTGGACAGTTGGAGCTAAGACAGTGTAACAGCCTTATTGCACAGTACTAACAGCCTTATTTCTTCCTCGTAGAAAACCAGAAGAATACAGGGATATATGTGTTGATATTTCGGCACACACCTTGATCGAAACGAATATTATCATCAGTTATATCATCAACGATATTCCTTTTGACAGAGGTGTGTTGCCGACTATCAACGCGTCTGTCACTTCCTTTTCCGGGTTTTTCCACCAGACAGAAAGCTATTACTACTGTTCCATCTATATGCATAATTTTTCCCGCAAATTTAAGCTCACTATCTTGCCTATCATAGTACTATATTATATGTCATAATAAGACCATATTAAGCTTATGTAGCTGTTTAATTCAGGAATTATCTGATATGTGGAAGGCGTACAGATACCTCAAGCACCACTCTATTAACCAAGCCTTCCATTGCATACGAATGGCGGTACTAATAAACCCGTGGAAAGTAGCGCTTAGGAGCGATTTTAATTCACTTGCACATGTTCCGTTCCAGCTTTGGAGCTGGTAGCAATTCAGACTATGGGCGGGTCCATGTCACTCTTCATCGGTGTTTGGTAAACAAAATAGACTGTACTGCAGACCCGTGCACATCTGGCATAAATGTTTGTCAACATGCGTGGTGAAGCGTCATGTCTGCCGCGTGCTGACCGCGCGAGAGGTAGGAGGCGTAACTCATTTGTCGGGGTCACAGCGTTGACCTGATCCCCTGTCTCTCCCGTCCGAAGCTGTCACGGTGAACCGTCTTGTTGTGTTGAGCGGGTCCGCAGTGTTTGCCCCTAGACTGTCACTGGGCGCTGTTCTCACGCTGCGCTCTCATGCTGACGAGTTGTGTGTGCGGTAGCAGACGGCAATTAAATCTGGTCAGTAATTGTTGTGCTGTTGGTGGAAGCGGCTGACCCAGGAAGTAAGTTTTATTGCCAACTGGAGTAGCGGATAAATTGTTTAATATCATGGAATCATAACGCCTGCATCCACATACGCATAAACATAAGTACAAATGTCGATGTCTATATGTATGCAATTTTGCAAATATATATATATATATATATATATATATATATATATATATATATATACATATATATATACATATATATGCATGAAGATCGTTGCATTTACCGGCCGCGCTCGTGGTGTATCTGGACGGACACACGCGACATCCTCTCGGAGTCCAGGACCTCTGGCACGGGGTTGATGTAGGTGAGAATACAGAACGGGTTACGGAAACAAGGTTGATCTCTTCTGCCTCCGATGCCTGCTTTTCCCGCTGAGATGGTTGAACAGTATGGCAGCTTGTAGGGTAGTACGTAAATGCGATAGTCGGAAATCCTTGCTAGTCATGTGACTACGGGTCGCCAAAAGAAGCTGCAAAACTTTCACGTCAGCAATATCATTGATAGCGCGCACATACAAGGCTGTCGCCTGCATGCAAGCTCTGGGTGCAAGACCTAATAGCCTCTCTTGTTAACAACGTCTGAGGCCCAGACACGCCACCAACAATTACTGTATAACCAGTGGTGTTGACACGTGTCGAGGCCTGCCTTGTCAACAGAGGGCGTAATTGGATCCTGGGTTTTCAGCAAACGTGCATGCTTCGTGGTCAAGATTTTGCACACAACCCGAAAGGTCACTGACATCCGATGGAAGAACCTGTTAAAGGTTGTTGATCGCAACGGACGGTCATCTGGTATAGCACACATTTACCTACATTAGACCTCGTTACACCTGTGTTGGTGTTTGGAGGCCTTGCTTTTCACGATGACTTAACAGGTCGGATTTATGGGCAGCGCTCCAAAGCTCCATAGGCCAATTCTACACTAAACTATCTATTTTGCTCCCTCAGCCCGCTTCCACCTCACTTCGCCCCACTGCCAGCGTCCTGCTCACCATTCAAACTTTACACGCCCTTCGCAAACAAACGCAATTGTCCGCCTCCAAATGCTGTCAGACTGCTTCGCGTGATCGCTCGCCAGATGCCTTTCCAATGTCGGCATTTACTGTATTGACTCGTTTCAATTTGAGTATCGTTCCTTAGCATTGCAGGGGATTTATTATTTGTCTCCACGAGTGAAGGGCGTGTGTGTGTAGACCGACATGTTTTCCAACGTATCCGGAATGTTATGCGTGTCTTTCAGGGCTGCTATTTCTGCCATGCTCCTTTCCGGATGTTTATCTCTGGCCTAAGCTCATATGCCGGTAGCGTTGTGTTTTCGATATGTCGATAATTCACCATAGTTGGTGCTCTCTAAAGGACCGAAACGGTGGACAGAAATGAAGGTGAGAGGTAAAGATGCTTTCGCTGTGAAAGAAAGCGTGACTTCGACGATTTAGATGCCGCGGGAAAGAAGAGTGACAACTGCGGGAAA